TTTTCATGAATCACAAGTTTTTGTCACTATCAACTCAACTTTGTCATTTGTTACTTTGAAATTTAGTCTGCCCACTGCAAGTGAGATCAAATTTTACAGTTTACCATCTGTTAATGATGTATATATAAACAGTCAACAACCATTGCGACTAACAATTCCTGTAGAACGTCAGTATTCTGACGTTTTATTGACTTTTTTATATCGATCCGTTGTCGATTAACGTCAGAACTCTGACCCTCTATTATATGCGGGAACTAAGCGTCCCACGTCTATGGGTCGTTCTTCAAACAATATTTTAGAAACAAATCATCATTTTCACATACATGTCGCACATGGATCGAAAGATCTTTTCTTTATGCACATGATGAACATAAATTACATGCCTCAAACAACCAATACAATCACTAAAAACACATTTTTTCAAACTTACTCTGTTTTACTAAAATCTCGACGACCTACGTCATAACGTTGGGTAATACCTTCGGTAACGCAATATCTCGTCAAGTCAGTAGACATTGCTCATGTCCTAATTTCCATTAAAAACATGGGTTGGTATAGAAAACATTGGAAAATAGTGTTCGTAATGATCTTTGAAACATGTTATTGATACCATCTAGTGCATAAAGAATAGATATTTCGATCCATGTACGACACGTGTGTGAAAGTGACGATTTGTTTCTAAAATATCAGTTTGAAGAGCGACACAGGTGCGGGACGCTTATTTCCAGCATATTATAGAGGGCCGGAGTTCTGACGATAATCGACGACATACCGATATAAAAAAAAGTCGATAAAACGTCAGAATAATTCGGACTAGTCAGTAAGGTGTGGCTTGATAAACAGCAAATAAATGGATCACAGACAGGTTCAAAGTTCAGCACAGAAAAAGAAATAAAAACATGGTTTGTAGCACCATAACGAAAGGGACACGCCATGTGGTTAGGTTTCAACAAGGGTAGAACGAAAGGGACACGCCATGTGGTTAGGTTTCAACAAGGGTAGAACAAAAGGGACACGCCATGTGGTTAGGTTTCAACAAGGGTAGAACAAAAGGGACACGCCATGTGGTTAGGTTTCAACAAGGGTAGAACAAAAGGGACACGCCATGTGGTTAGGTTTCAACAAGGGTAGAACAAAAGGGACACGCCATGTGGTTAGGTTTCAACAAGGGTAGAACAAAAGGGACACGCCATGTGGTTAGGTTTCAACAAGGGTAGAACAAAAGGGACACGCCATGTGGTTAGGTTTCAACAAGGGTAGAACTGAAGGTACCAATAGGATAAATACTAAATATGTATATTCCCTCATTATTTTGATGACATGTGTGTACAATCAATACTGTTCGGTGTAAAAGGAGAAAGTATGCTATTAATGAATAATGACACCAATATGTTTTCATAAAAGTTAGGTCCGTTTTGAAAGGAGCTGATAATGTTAGAGTGATTAGTTTAAGGAATGTTGGCACAATATTGATTTGATGAAACTTTGAAATGAAACAACAAAAAATATTCAACTCCGACCTATTCCGTCTTTGCGTATTGCAGAGTTATCTTCTCTTGGGAGCAGGTATTGATTGTTACGTCATTGGTTTGTGTGAGAAAATTACGTCGTTTCTCAAAAATTGATGACGTTACTCTCACAAACATGTGACGTAACAATTAATACCTGCTCCCAAGAGAAGATAACTCTGCAATACGCAAAGACGGAATTGGCAGCCCAAGTTTGGAAATATAGGTAAATCTTTAAAAACTGACTTTTCTAGTATCAATGAAGGGATTTTAATCCATATTGGTCTGGAGCATCCCTGGGCCAGAGGGACTCGGCGTTGTATAAAGGAACAGTGTCGCACCTTTTGGGCAAAGGGGCAGGGTCCGATAGGGGAGATAGAGGTAAATCTTCAAAATCTTACTTCTTGAGCATGGTTTAAAGGATTTTGATTTACTAATCTGACTTTGTCTAGAACAGAATTGGGTCAAGGGGGTTCAACTTTGTATAAGTGAAGGGTGTGCCCCTACCCCCTCACATGCGGGAAGAGGGGCAGGGATCTGCAGGGGAAATATAGTTAATTAAAACTGTAAAATCTTACACTTTAAGTTACAGTGAAGCCATTTTAATGTTATTGGTCTGCATCATCATTTGGCCAACAGGACTTGATGCTGTATAAATGGGGACAGATTGGTAGGACCCAATAAGGGAAATATGTGTAAGCTTTATAAATCCTTTTTCCTGAGTATGGGAAAAAGGATTCTTAGGGCATAGGAGTTGGATAAATCGTGATTATCATAGGGGCAGGGGGGTGAGACCCAATTGAGGGAACATAGAAAGATCTTAAAATTCTACTCTTAGGAGTAACAAATTTTACCATTATTTGGTTTGGAACATCCTTTTAGGAATTTAATTATCATATTGCATAAAGAGAGGGTGTTAATGCCAATAGGTTTAGTGGAATCGGGCCTAAATTGGGAAAATCCTTTTCCTTGAGTTCAGGTTAAAGAATTTGGGCCTTTATTTGACTGGAGCTACTTTAACTCAAACACAGACATCATAGTACAAGGGGAGGGTGCGGCTATCCTGGAGACATAAGGGTGGGGCCCAATTGGGGAAATGTAGGTAAATCCTAGTTCTTGATTATGGATCAAGTAAAATTAATCAATTTAACCAGAAGGATCTTTAGGTTCTCCTAATATCATGGCTTATTGAAGTGAAAAAGTAATTATGACAGGGCATATGGTAAATTAACCTTGAAAAATAATTACGTTTAAGTAACCTGATTTTATTAATGCATGTTTATTGTCAGATGGGTTATGCTGAAGTGCTTACATTTTGAGATTGATTGAACATATGCTATTTTATAAATTCAGTAGGATTACAAATTCTATCTTAAATGCCAAAAAACACATACAGTTACGGTATACAAAATCAAAGGTTGTACATGTGTGTTCTTGAAATCCACTAGCCTGTGTCAGATTAAAAAAAATGCATATAGGCTGTTAAGGCCCCTGGACCTCCTGTTTAAGTTTCATGATATTGAGAAAGCTTCAGGCATGAACCATATCATGATTCCCATGTTGTCATTTCAAATTGTCAAAACTAGGCTTAAAAAACAAGTGTTTGCTTGCAAAGCTGTGTCATTCAATTATAACAAGGACTGTTCCTCAAAGTTTGGGAGTACAAAGACAGGTTGTAAGGACATCCTGTTATGATCTCATTTCTATGGTTTATGTAATACTAATAGAAGCCATCCCTGATGCGAGGTATGGATAAGTAAGTTAACCCAAGGGATACAAAATTGAGCAGGAGACCTTTGTGGAGGGTCTTCTGCTCAATATTTTATCCGAGGGCTTATTACCTTATCCATACCTCACATCATTCAGGGATAGATTATTATTCTTGCTTATTACCTAAAACCTGTAAAAGCAGCTGCTCTTCTAGTAAAGTTGTAAACTGGCCGCACATTTCTCATTTGCATATGAAGCCTGAATGCAATTGTTAATGAGGTCAATGACCCTGACTGACCCCAAAACGTCATAAAATGACGGCATAAACAATAGCATGACACCGAAAGGTCACTATAATTCCCCTGATAGTCTGCATGTGTAATTCCCCTGATAGTCTGCGTGTGTAATTCCCCTGATAGTCTGAGTGTGTAATTCCCCTGATAGTCTGCGTGTGTAATTCCCCTGATAGTTTGCGTGTGTAATTCCCCTGATAGTCTGCGTGTCTAATTCCCCTGATAGTCTGCGCATATATATAAGCGATCCAGACCTGTGTGTTGGATAGAATTTTCCAGCAGCGCCGGAAATGTGGATATGCAAGAAAAAGTTGTTCATTCTTTCTGATAACTTTTCAAATAAACAGCATACCGGTTTATTTAACAAGAGAGCTTAATTACATTCAATATTTCTTTATTTATAACAAAAAAACAATATGCACTACATAATACATCTGGGCCTTGAATTATACTTTTTTTTGTATAGTGAAATTAATATCATTGCAGATTTTGATTGGAAATGATTCACATCTTTTTATATAATTATTTTGACTTGTGCACTTACATATATATTGAAATTGAATTTCCCTGAGATTATGTCTCATACAAAATGTATGAGAGCAAGTTTCCAGGGACAGGATGATGTTCTTAAATCTTTCACCCCCAGGTAACGTTAGTAGTCTCTATGATACATTTATTTGGATGAGTCCATTATGGTCTACAGTGGTGAAAGGGCTAAACAAATCCCTGCAGAGGGAAATGATTTTAAAACAGAAATCTTCAAAAATTAGTTTTAAACAACACTTTCATCTTACATGATTATAATGTTAAGATGTAAAAAAAACCTAAAACATAATTAGATTATCTGTGTAATTGTAACCTGTTTCAAGGTCTTCGAAAATTGATTTTGTCCTAAGATGACAACCTGAAGATAGAAAACACTTGAAGCTAATGGCACACCAGCTAATGGTAAAGCTCATTGAAAGATCTCAACGAGGGTTTAAGTGGAATGCTGTGTTATCTTCAAAAGCATTACAGTTGTTAATGGCAAGCTGTCGTGCAAGCTGTCTTGAAATGATGTGACGAAGTCACTATTCTCTGTTGTTAATGGGGAAACAAATTGAAATCTATAGTTTAGTTAGAGACGTGAATCGGGCAGAAAAGTGTTGTATAAGCAATGTAGACTTTGTTAACTGTATGATGTATAGCTCCTAATATTAAGTATGCACGTAAAATACCGATTTCATTAAAGACCTGTCTATGAGAAATTAGGTAATTATATTGATGTGAAGTTTTCATGTCTGCTCATCATTATATTGAAAGGTTTATCACTAGAGAATTATATCCACTGACAAACAATTATTTAGAAGGCAGAAATGCAGTTAAATATTATATTATGGAATATGTAACCGAGAATACAAAAGTGTGATATTTAGTACGCTTTGATTCGTATATATATACCGTTATATATTTTTTTTAAATATATATATATCCAAATTTTTTTTTTCAGGCTAAGAAGAAAAAAGTGTGATGCAATGTAACTTACCAAGATAGTTAAGAAGATTTTTCATTACAGCCATATAATGTGGCCCCGAGTCCTAGTGCAGATGTACTGAATATCATATGCTGACTAATCCTTCATGTGTCAGATAATTGCTGTTTATATGGAATCATGTTGTTAACTACAGCATTTGTGTTAGATAATGGGACACATCAGAGACAGGACTGCATTGACAACTGTCTTGATAACTGAGCACAATTCTGACAACAAGACCCCAGATGACAGTGATTTAAAGTGCAAAGAATTGCTAGTCATGTCACAAATGACAAGCGTCTTGTGGCGGCGACTCCAATAATCTCACCAAACTTCAAACGAGAGTGGTATAGAGGAAGACAGACTGCTTAAGCCGAGGACTTGTGATACTCCATTCTATTGACAAACATATGCATGGTGATGTAACATGTACATGAGCAATGATGTCAATAAAATAAGATATTTTTTATATATTGACATGTCAGAGTTTTGCCTATTTTTGACTGAGTAGAAGACAATATTTGCTATATATGTGATACGTTTGTGCATTCCTTAAGATTAGGAACTCAGAATAGTAATGCGACTCCGACATTTTGTAACTCAGAATAATCACCATCAGATCAAAAGATAGAAGACATTTTATTTATCCATGCTCAAAAAGACTTTCTGCGAAAAAAGTGAATTACAAGGATGAGTATACCATAAACAAAAAATATATAACAAAAATCTTTACTTTTATGCGACACAATATGGCCCTAATATTTGGTTTTTATTTGGTTGGGGTTTTATGTTCTCCAAACAGTTAAGGTCACTTACAGACGGTAGACCTACTGCAACACACCGAGACTGTTAACTGTATACTTGTCCGCCTTTTATTTGAAGAATGTAGTACAAATTGGAAGCAAGCTTCTTTTTAATGTCCATAAGGCTTTAACTATCAATGTTTTTCAAAGTAATTATATTGACATTCACCAGTAAAATCTTCCGACACTGATAAAGTAAATGTAGAGTTAAATTTGTGTTTGTAGTGCAAGCTTGTTTGCTGTTTAGTTTGTTTAAAGTACATTGAGCCGTAACCTTATTTAATATCACAACTGTGAGATGTTTTTTCAACAAACATTTCAATTTGAATTTTGTATAAGCCCACCGGGTTTCTTGTTTATTGCGCCGATATGTTTTTCGAGAAGAAACGCAATGTCGGCAAGATTCTTAAAAATTAAATACTGTAAACCCCTGGTATGATTAAAGTCCTTTTTAATCTATTTGCTTGGAATGCTATGTATGCTAGTTGTAAATTTGACAAAGCATTTGGTCTCTGTCCTCAGTCCATCTCTCTCTCTCTCTCTCTCTCTCTCTCTCTCTCTCTCTAAAACCTTATGTACTTTATCCTCATACAGTGTAACTTCAACAGACTCTGTTAATTGTTGTCGCTTTTGTCAGAACGTTGAGCTAAATGAAACATTAAAGATTCAATGAGCACTCTAAATATTTTCTTTTGATATGTGTTAATGCAGTTGATTTTCAATTTGCGTTCGTGAAGGTTTTAAATGAAAAACGTCTTCTAACCACTTGGATAAGTATCCACTTCATAATTGGAATATAGTATGGAACACATCATTAGCAGACTGTTGAGTTACATCAAATTAAAAATCTGCATTCAAAGCATATATAACGGGTTTTTAGATTTTGATGAAATTGAATTCTATCTTTGCTGTGATTTGACTAAATAGATAACATTGTCAATTAAGCAAACTCATTTCCCTACCATTAGTTGTTGTTTTAATAAGAACGAAATTCATGGGGAAAATAAGTTGCACTGCAAGATGTTTTTCTTTGTAACAAGAAGACGAATGTTTTTGCAATTTAAAAGTAAAAAACGTTTTTAATGTAAAATATGTTATCTGCGTTTCAAAAAATTACGATTATACATCTGTTTCATTTGTACACACCTTAAACGAAATAACGCTTACACACATGGAAAGTTCTTTTCTAATTTCAATCATACCTCGCTCAAGTAGACAGCTGATTTAGATTACAGGCATCACTCAACATCTACAACACCTTTGATTCTACCCATTCGCCATCTACAACACCTTTGATTCTACCCATTCGACATCTACAACACCTTTAATTCTACCCAAAAAACCGGCGTCCGTCCAGCGTCAACATTTTACTTTAAACAACTTCTACTGAATAACCACAAGGCCCATGCTGATGATATTTGGCCAGTAGCATGCTGGAATTAAGGGCTACCAAGTTTTTTTCAAATGAATGACCTTAACCCACTTTCAAGGTCACAGGGATTAAATATGTTGAAATCTTCAAACAACTTCTCCTCGATAACCAAAAGGCCCAGGGTACTGATATTGGGTTTGTAGCATGCTGGGATGAAGGGCTACCAAGTTTGTTCAAATGAATGACCTTGACCCACTATCAAGGTCACTTGGGTCAGATGTCTTAAAATCTTCAAACGATTTCTTCTTAATAACCAAAATGCCCAGGGTACTGATATTGGGCCTGTAGCATGCTGGGATGAAGGGCTACCAAGTTTGTTCAAATTGAATGACCTTGACTCACTTGCAAGGTCACAGGGGTCAAATTGTTGAAATCTTCAAACAACTTCTCCTCAATAACCAAAATGCCCAGGGTACTGATATTGGGCCTGTAGCATGCTAGGATGAAGGGCTACCAAGTTTGTTCAATTGAATGACCTTGACTCACTTGCAAGGTCACAGGGGTCAAATTGTTGAAATCTTCAAACAACTTCTCCTCAATAACTAAAATACCCAAGGTACTGATATTTGGCCTGTAGCATGCTGGGATGAAGGGCTACCAAGTTTGTTCAAATGAATGACCTTGACCCACTTTTAAGGTCACATGGGTCAAATGTCTTAAAATCTTCAAACAACTTCTTCTCAATAAGCAAAAGGCCCAATGTAGATATTGGGCTTGTAGCATGCTGAGATGAAGGGCTACCAAGTTTGTTCAAATGAATGACCTTGACCCACTTTCAACCTAATGTCCTTGTTCGACATTCAAGGTCGCAGACGTCGTGTCTAAATCTTTTAATAGGTTCTTATGAATCAAACATTGATATTCTACCTGTAGCTGTATTTTAGTCCATTTTTAAGATTATAAGTGTGAGATTAATACCAGGTGAGCGTTGCAGGCCCATTGGACCTCTTGTTAGGTCACCCGAGACAAAGTCTGAAGTGACCTATTGCGATCGCCGGTGTCCTGCGTCGTGCGTCCGTAAACAATTTACATTTTTGACTTCTTCTCCAAAACCCCTGCACCAATTTCAATGAAATTTTGCAGAAACCTTCCATGGCCAAAGGTCATTATTATATGGTCCCCCGCCCATAGGGGCACGAGGGGCGGGGCCAAAAAGGGTCAAATTGACTAAAATTTCAAAAATCTTCTTAAGATCATGATATGCTAGAATCAAATACTCTTAATAGATCGAAGGGTCTTAAGTTGCTTTACCATAATTGTGAATTATATGACCCTGGGGTCTCTCGTTTCCCCCTGGGGAGGGGATACACTTTACTTTAGTTTATATAGTGAAATCACATTTTGGACCAACATTTGTTTAATTTACATTGAAATTAATTCAAACTTGGTTAGCATTATCAGCATTTGATAGAAGTTTGATGGTATGTACATATCAGCCCTGACTGACCCCCAGGGGCTGATGGGCGGGGCCAAAAAGGATTGAATTGACTGAAATTTCAAAGCTCTTCTTCTCAAGACCCAGATATGGTAGAATCAAATACTCTTCATAGATGGAATGGTCTTAAGGTGCTTTACCAACATTGTGAATTTTATGACCCACGGGTTTCACGTTTCCCCCTGGCGAGGGGGTAAACTTTACTATATAATTGTGAGTTATATACCCCCCAGCCCCAGGAGCCTGAGGGGCGAGGCCCAAAAGGGTCAAATTGACTAAAATTTCAAAAATCTTCTCAAGATCCTGATATGGTAGAATCAAATACTTTACTTAGATGGAAGGGTCTTAAGGTGCTTTACCATAATTCAGCTGACTGACAGAACCACTATTTGTACATAGTACATATACTACCCAGATCTTTCACATTACTTTTGCATTACAGGTAGTTTAAGTAACCTTTTTTCCAAATGATTTCTTTTTCATTTGGCAACATCGATAACATCAGTTTTTACATAACTCAGGTGACCGCTAAGGCCCATGGGCCTCTTGTTATTTTTATAACATTGAGCGTGAAACATCATCATATACTCAATGTACCACAGCCTTAACATGTTAACCCAAGACATCTTGGTTATTCATTAGAGTTGTTTTAACATTTTGACGCATTCGACACATGTGACCTGGAATTAGATCACTCTTCTTTGTACCAGGCTAGAAGGCCTCTGAACGCGTTATGGCAGGATCTGGGCTCGTATTGAGGACACTGTTCTCATGCTCAAACATTGCTTATGTGCTCAAACCAACTTTCTTGTAACTCACTTTAATCATGTCAAATGATAAAAAAAGTCAAAAGCAAGCACAAAATCCATGCTTGAGCATGAGAACGGTTTCTGGAATACGGGCCCAGAGCACAATGATCCCAGGCAGCTGAGACGGCATAGTGTAATGTTGGTCCGACAGTTGTGATGAAAGTTCCGACCGCAATGGTAGAATAAGTGTACGGTTTTATTGGGGAAGAAGGCACTGAACATGGGTTCTTTAGCAGCACTAACTAACGATCTGATGTGATGGTTACCCTAAGTACTTGCTGGTATATATTCCCTCGAATATGTTTTTCTTTTCTTTTCTGGGGAATCTTTTGTGACTGAAGATGTTAAGATGCACACTTATGAGCGATAACCAGTAACAGGTTCATATTTTTTTTGATATTTCATTTTCAATTTTATTCAATTTTCAATCTTGATAAGAAGCAAACTTTACTTATAGCCCCTCAATCCAAAATTGAAAATTATACTTTTTTATAAACTGTACATTGTATTACGAAAAAGGTTTATACTTGTTAGATAAATTGAAAATATACATTGTTTTATTCAATTCAATTAAGTAAATATTTATTAATTATGTAAGTTTTATATTACAATTTTAGGAAAATACGTTATTATGTTTCACCTATTAAGTTACAGAAAATTTAGAAATAACAAACAGCAAATGGTTTAAATTTCATTCGATATCCTGAGTATTCAGCTTAGCCGACAGCTCCATGCACCATGTGAGTCAATAGTTGGAACCCTGCCAAGTCGATATTTTTCCCATTACTAACATAACAAGATAAGGCTAATTCTTGCCAATTTAATATGAGAATTTACAATAAACAACTTTTCTGGTATAACGCAAATTATATGTTCGTAATCAGAATATGCCAAACACACTTAATTAAATTTGGATTACCAACATAAGAAGATTGAAATAAGTTTTCTTGTAGAACCTGTTCACTTGCAATTGAGATAATAAGATACAAGCTATGGAT